ATAATTCAGACATTATCATGAATTCTTCAATGAAAATTCGCACGAATCGAAATTCAAGATTTCTCAGAGACTAGCTTGGTGACAGGTGGAATATTTAGGTTAAACCGCCGAAAACAATTTAATAATCCACTTAGCGACTTTTAAACTTGAGTTCACTAATCTCGTTTGGCTTCCTAACGTATTTTGTTGCTTATTCAATTCGAATACTTTTGTTAGAACAATTATACATATTTGATTTAAATATATGTAATATCTAATCTATAACAAATGTTGTTATTTGACATTCGCCAATTGATATATTTTAAAAAAAGAATGAAAATTACTTATCTATACATATAATAAAATTGTAACTAAGACGAATCTGTACATTAAATATTTTTTGGAAAATCTTATTGAAATAGTCATTTTTGCCGAATGCTGAATCTATAGTTTTTAGAATTTTTGTCTGTCTGTCTGTTACCGCATCACAGAAAAACCACTGAAGGGATTCTGATGAAATTTGGTATAGTGATAACTGGTTATCCGGGTCAACATATAGGATACTTTTTACCGCGAGAAAACATTTCATTTCTGAGTAAAAATACAAAAACTCCAATGTAAGATTATATTAATATGTAAAACCTAAGAATTTGGTTTTTGGTCATCAGAACGCGGGCGGAGCCGCGGGCAATGCTAGTTAAGTATAAAAATATACCTAAATCATTTTATAAGAAAATAGCAACTTAAACTTGCTTTCTTCGATTGCGTCTCTAGGTGCATACCATTAGCCTAAACAATTATCGATAAATCGGTTCGTTATAGTCGAAAGTATCGAGTAGCACACATAAAAATAATAGGGGTTAAAGTATGAAATTGCCGATTTGTACTGAAAAATTGAAATTCGTTTTTTTTTTCAACTTAACACATTTATTTAATCAAAATAATTACCATTATTATCTATACATTACTGCCATCTAATAGGAAGGTCATTTATGCCTTTGCGATGGAACTCTGGTGATCTAGATTCGACAAACTGTGTGAAAGTATTTTGCACTGCCTCCTGAAAAGAAAACTTTTTATCACGTAGAAAATTGTCCAAATCACGAAAAAAGTGGTAGTCCGTTGGAGCAAGGTCTGGCGAATATGGAGGGTGACGAATGGTTTCTAACTGCAATTCCTGTAGAGTTAAAACGGTTTCTCGTACTGTATGAGGTCTCGCGTTACCATGGAGCAATAATGGTGAAGATCGATTCATGAGTCGGGGCTATTTCACTGCTAGTTTTGCTATCATTGTTCGGAGTTCGACACAGTAGACATCTGCCGTTATTGCTTGACCAGATCGGAGAAAGCTATAGTGAATAACACCATGCTGAGACCACTAAACAGTTACCATTACCTTTTTATTGGTAAGCTTTGCTATAGAACACTATTGCGGCGTTTGACCTGGGGTCAGCCATTGCATTTTTCGTTTACGGTTATCGTAAAGTATCCACTTTTCATCACATGTCACAATTCGATCCAATATTCCTTCATTTCTGTATCGATTCAACAAGGCAACACGCGTTTCTTTCTGCAGATCAGTCAAATCATGAGGCACCCATTTTTCATATTTTTTATTTTATTGATTTGACGCAAATGAATCAATATTGTTGGTAAGGTATTGTTAAACCATGCCGCTAATTCCTGGGTAGTTTGGCTCGGATCGGCTTCCACCATCTCTTTCAATTCATTTACAAAAAATTCACCTGTGTCGGTGTGGGCGGTCTTCCACGTGGTTCTTTCTTCAAATCAAAGTTTCCATCGTGAAAGCGTTTAAACCAAAATCGCAGGGTTCATTAGCAGTCCCCTCTCCAAACGCAACATTAATATTGCGAGCTGTTTCTGCCGCGTTAGTTCCGCGTCGGAACTCGTATTCAAAAATCACTCGAATTTTGGAAGTATCCATCTTTCTAGTCTAAGCTGAATAAAAAAAACAACTGAAAGTCGATAATCGAATGTTGCAAACTTTTTAAAGAAGAACTACATAGGTACCATGTGAAAAAAGTTTCACTCAAAAATCTCACACCATGAAGGTTCTATGTCAATTCGAAGTACCTATTACAGTAAAACGCCAATTTCGTACTTTAACCCCTATTATAACTTAAGAGGACTGTGAAGTGTCGATACGCGGAGCGAGTAGGTTTTAAAAAAAATGTTATCTGTTATTTTAAAAAAATGCTATCTGTTTCATACCGCTCGCTTTCTCAACTCATATGGTGTGATAGAGAGAGTTGCAAGTCTTAGACGTAATTACCTACATTTTTGAAATATTGTTTCGGGCGATAACGTTTTCACCCCCCTAAACATTTACGAAATAAGACAATTTTGGTCTCATTAGACACACCTTAGTAAATCTTAATCTAAGTCTGTACGTTTTTCTTTTTTAATATTCAGTTCGATTTAATTAAAAAAAAAAACGCACGAGGAACTTTTTAAGTCAAAAATACAGTCATTTAGATAGATGCTAATAACTTCTATCATACGCATCTTTAAAATAAAAACGCACGGACCTAGTTTTTCATTATATCTACAACATTTCCAAAAAATATGTCAATTAGACTATGTTAATGGGAGCAAAAACGATATCGCTTTTTGTATGAAAATATACAGCTTCACAATCTTCTTAACGTGATGCGTTCACATACTTGAATCTCCCTCGCGAATAGTGTTAAACTTAGTGAGATTGGTGGCCGTAGAAGTCGGTCAGAAGGCCGTTTAATACAATGATCAAAGTGTGTTTTTTTTACTTAGTTCTTTAATAGCATTAAATTATTAAGTACTACTACTTACTTTTCTAAGAATCTTGCATTAATTACTAGGCTAATTCAATTAATCGTTTTTTTTACTAAAGTAAGGCAACACGCCTTATTTGGCATTGAATATTAAAAAATAAATATTGATTTTAACGAATAAGTATCGGTTCTTAACTTAAATTATTATTATTATACTAGCACTGCCCGCGGCTCCGCCCGCGTTCAGACGACCAAAACCAAATTGTTAGGTTTTACAGATTAGTATACTCTTACATAGCAGTTTTTGCAATTTTTTCTTAGAAATGAGATATTTTCCCGCGGTTAAAAGTATCCTATATATTGACCCGGAAAACCAGCTATCACCATACCAAATCTCATCAAATTCCCTCCAGTTGTTTTTCTGTGATGCGGTAACAGACAGACATACATACAAAAAATCCAAAAACTATAGATTCGTCCTCTGTATCGATAATAATGTTTATTTCAATAAGATTTTCCAAAAAATATTTAATGTACGGATTCGGCTTAGTTACAATTTTATTATATGTATAGAGAAGGTAGAGTTTCATGTTTTAAATATATCTATGGGCCTCTACGACCGACAGTAACAATCGTTACACAAATAAATTACAGTATTATTATTGTGCTCTTTCTATCTAATGAATGTGTAATAAATAACAATGTTTATTCGGTTAATTGTATAATCAAAAACCATTTAACTGTCTCGCCTTTCTTGAGTGACACGCGATAAAAATGATATATCATTTCCTTTAATAGCGTAAGTTCATGGCTCATGAAAGCATATTGTGTGTCTATTTGTATATTTGATTTGAAAGTTATCTTAAGAATTATATGTCTTATATATGTCTTATGTATAACATATATATTAAATGAGTATAGCTTATGTAAAAGATAATTATGTAATAAAATAAATAGTAATTTAACTAATTTCCTTAAAGTAAATAATAACCGTGTTTTATCATTGTATCTAGTTAAGGTCGTATTTTGTTTTTTAGAACGACTTTTTAGAGCTGGATGATAGTTCTTACAAAAATAGCCTCTACGAATCTCTATATCCAATTGCTGTTTCTAGCATATAAGAATCATTTTAATAGAGATTAATAATATTGTACAATTATTTTTAATTCTACACACGCTCCAGTTTACCATACATACACAAAGTTTACACATACTCTGGCGTGTATGACCACCTTTGTGTATACTGTGCCTGAAAATCACAGAAGAATAAACGTATTGAGGAAATACTTAAATTACTTTATAATAAAAAAAGTATATAATGAGTGTCTTTTACAGTTTTATGCTATTTTTTAATCAATTTAATAAATTCATTTTTGATTTCCTTATTGTATTAACTTTTTTTTCAATATTATAAGGTCATGATACTTAAATTATTCAGTTACCTTGCTCTCTAAAAGATAACGGTTTTATTTTATTAAGTTAATCAAATGTTTAGAAATGCACAATTGTATGCTAAACGCCGATGTTAAAAAAATTATAACTGATAAATCACCTTAACGAAGTATAATTTTATTAAAGTAATATAATTTATAATTGAAAGAGTTCTTTTGGAATTAGTCTTTAATTCATCTGAGTGAGAGATAAGAATGAAACTAATAATAAAACGATTTCATCCATATTTATGAAATTGTATAGAATTTTTACTTATTGAGTGATAATATAAACTATTTTTTATGATATATTTTATCAAATAGGCAATCAATCAAATGAAAATTTTTATATGGCTATAATATAAATAATGAAATTCTAATCCTGAAAATCGTAACTCATAAAAACTCGATGCTATTTAAATAAATAGTAAAAGTTTTATTATAATACGGCTATTTATACCATTCATAACCTAATAATGCTAATTAGATCGTGAGCTTTTCTATATAATGAAAGAAATTTATTAAATTTCCAAAGTGATTTTTATTTATTCATTCACTGTAAATTAGTTAATCGAACTAGACGTTTTTACCATTTTATTTAACTGATTTAAATAGAGCTTAGCCATAGTATTAATTCAGTATGTGTATTAAAGGCAAACTCCAATTAATATTAAATCTCGAGCAGACGTGAAAAACAGTATTGAAATTTTTGCTAGTTTACACTACATAATATGTAGGTATATACCATACATACATGGATTTATTAGTTAAAATATTATAGCCTTTGGTCAGATATTTTTCAATATATTTTATTTTTCAGATGCTCGGCTTTGGTTCATCGAACGCCTTTGGAATTTTATTCAATAATTTCTTTCTAGAGCAAGATGGTGCCAGCGGCCTTCCACTAGTAATAGGTGTTTATAATGGAGCGCTGTCTATATCAGGTAAAAAATAACAAAATTAATGAATTAAAAAACAAAAATGTATGGATCGATGATTAATTATTTGATATTTTTTCTCTTTCTTACTACATAACTGTACAAAATTGTGCAATACAAATATATTTAATTTACCAATATATAATTACCTATATATGTACATATATGCACTTTTGGCGTATCTTTTTAGCATAAAATTCATATTGAATTTATTATGTAAATTCACGCTACGTTACCTAAAAAATCTTTACGTCATAATGATATGTACATATTATTATTATCATTTTAAATATATAAAACGCTTATAAATATTGAGATAAATGGTTTATATCAGTGTGGGTATATATGTTACCGACCAAACTAGATTTCAGGCCAAATTGGTTTGTCATAGGCGAAACCCGTTCATCCAAAGCGTGTCTGGATATACTAGTTTATATTTGTATTCAGCCCTTTTTAATGTCCCACTGCTGGGCACGGCCTCCCTTCAGTACGAGGGAAATCAGGTCATAGTTCACCACGCTATCCAAGTGCGGGTTGGCGGACTGCACATGTCTTTTGAAAACTTGCTAGGTTTTCTAAGACAGGTTTCCTCACGATGTTTTCCTTCACCGAAAAGACAAGTGGTAATCATGTTGGAAATAATTCATGACAGTATCAGAGGTGCGAGACGCAGGATTTGAACTCGCTTCACTCGGTTTCCCAAGCGAGCGCGTTACCACTGGGCTACAACTGTCTTTTTACTAGTTTAGTCCAGACAAAATACTAAATACTTTAGGCTTAACTAGTTTGACTTAGGCTAAACTAATTTTAACGTATAATAATTCGGCTGCTTAGTATATAGGACGCGACCTCTGGAGAGGTGGTATTATGTGACAGGCCCGACTTGGATAAAGTAGGTTGGGAAGGCTAAGGCGGGAGTGAAGCGTAGCGTAGCTTATCGTAACATATAAATACTAAAAAGTAAAGTAAATAAGTCCTAAAAATTTAAAAAAAACAATAGTGAGCGCACAGGAAGCGCTGCGGTCGCTATGTCCCAAAAGGAAGAGTGAAATTTACACTGATTAGTTTATCACCTTTATCACTAACTTCGCGCTACTGATGATACACTAATATATTGATACAGATACTGATACTGACAACATACAGATACTGATACAGCTAAATTCACCTGGTAACTACGTAAATCTGTATTTCTGAAGCTCTAAAAAATTTTGCGAATGGATTTCTCGTATCCCATATGAAACCTTATAAATATGGAGATTGGACTCCTTGTCTGTATTCTTCAAGTCTTAACATTGGTTGTTGCACATCTCTTGACAACAGTTAAATGAAAAAGAATTGAATTGTTCTAAATCAGGTCAAATTACAAACTCAAGGTTCATATTACTGAGTTTAATTGATGAAAGATTATGCGTATTTCATTTTAAAACGTTAATCTAAGATGATTGAGTAAAGGAACCGATATAGAATGTCAATATCATATCTATTCTATTGTATTTATTGATTTGACCGATATCTTTTAATGAAAACAATGCCAAGTCCAGTCTAGTTACTTATAAGTAATGTTAATTAATGTCACGTTTATGCTTTAGCAGAGGCTCGTCATGGGTACAATTGAGGCTTTAGAAGGTTTTTATATTTTATTCGATTTGAACGACGGTATTTGTACGTATGGATTTTTATAACAATATTTTATTTATATTATCTACTTATTCACAATAATATTATTAATATTAAAGTAATTTAGTATGTCTGCTTGGTTTTCTCGGAAAAACGGATGATTTTGATAAAATTTTCTATAAGAACAATCATATTACTTAGGTACTCAAGCAGGCAGAGCGTATGATAGTACATGTTTATATAATTAAAATAACTTTATATACTACATACACTTGTAGCTGGACGTAAAATATACCCGAATAAAATAAATTTCGCTATGTACTATACATATTTTTTTCATAACTTCACACTTCTTAATAAGCAAAAACGCAGTCATTATATTATGTACATTGTACAGTACATACGAGTATATCGATGGTGAAGGCTGTAACGGCGTATAATAACGACTTGGCGGGGGCACTGCCGTGCCCCCCGATATTGTGCACACTTTATTTCAACGCATCGAAGTATAAGTATCATTGGAAAAAAATATGTTTATTATACATTTTATAATAACTAATCCAATACGGTTAAGGACAAATAGTAAACACTAATGATTTACCATCGTTTCACCAGGCGTCTTTTTATTATACGTTTTATTGCTTAATTTAAACCGTTTAGTCAGCGCACGCCAATCAACCACCTCAACGGCCACTTTCCTTCCGATTTCGATTAAATTTATTAATTGAATGTATTTCTGACAGTAAACCCATTTTTATCGGAATAAAAAATAGCACTCGACGGTATAGGTAATGTAGTTACATTGAGAATCTATTAGGAAGATTCTTAATAGATTTTCAGAATCAGTAGTTCCAGAGATTATTCTTTTAAATAAAATTAGAAACTTACACAGTTTACTTCTTTATAATAAATAATACTAGCGACTCACCCTCGCTTTGCTCGGGTTCATCCCTATGTATATATGTATATAATTTATACTAATATTATGAAGACTTTGACTGCACGATTACCTAAATGCCACCATTTTAAATCCAATATGGCGGACTGTTTTTTATGCACCCTATGATATGGATATTAAATGAAAGGGTTTGCTAAGAAGAATACGAAAAAAAAGTAAAAAACATTAAAAATGCAGTTAAAACATTAATTAATAAAAAAATAAAAACCGAATTCAAACAAAAGCACTAAAAAGTAAAAAATAACTGATTGGTAGTTTTCATTTACTATACATACCTAATCAAATATTTTCGAAGTCGGTGTGCTTTACTTTGTATGGGCTGGCACCGATTTCGAAAATATTTGATAGGTACATATGTATTTAATAGGTAGGCTTTAATTACTTAGCCAAAGCACACCGACTTCGAAAATATTTGATTAGGTATGTATAGTAAATGAAAACTACCAATCAGTTATTTTTTACTTTTTAGTGCTTTTGTTTGAAGTCGGTTTTTATTTTTTTTGTTAAAAAGTTTTTATTTTTCCTTTTTTAGTGTAGACAGTAGTAGCAAAGTAAGAATTCTAACGTGTTAGGCTTGTCAAATCAAACAAAATAAGCCCAAACTCAAAGTATCTACTATTAGCCGTTGAAGAGTTACACCTATCCACCTTCTGGCTTTACCATCAGATTAGGTCAACAATACCGAACCACTGTACTATCAACGGAAATAGAAACACTTGCAAAGTTTCAAGTCAATATGAGAATTAAAAGTAGGTTAAATTCATCATTACCTATTTTTCCACACTTAGGGGTGGTATTTTTTTTTTAAATTTAAATGGGACCAATCTGGAAGTATACACTTTCAAACGACACAAAAATTGTCCAAACCGGTTAATAAATGACGGAGTTCTGAGGTAACAAACATAAAAAAAAACAAAAAAAAATACAGTCGAATTGAGAACCTCCTCCTTTTTGAAGTCGGTTGAAAAAACAAGCTTTTATTTAAATGCTCAAAAAACAAACAAGTATAACTTCTTACGTGCGTACATAAGTACACACGTTTTTTTTGTAGTTTTAGCGCGAGCAAAGGGTTCTGCTAGTAACATTTTATATAGTTTTACAATAATGTATGGAAATCTGCCCTATTTGTTGACATTTATGACTATTGATGGCGTGATGATATATAGTCTATACTCTATAGCCTCTCTTAACAACGGGCTATCTAATGCTAAAAGAACTTTTCAAATCGGATTAGTAGTTCCTGAGATTAGCATGTTAAAACAAACAAACTCTGCCTTTTATAATATTAAGTACATATAGAATAGTGCAGTAAAGAAATTCTTTGATCCATGAACTTGTTTGCACGGTCATTTGAGCCTGATTTATTTTATGAAATTACCTACTGGCGTAAAACTAAACTACACTAATACCATAATCAAATTTACGTGTAAACCTCTTATTCTTTTCATATTGGCAGAGTGGACATTGTTTTCTTATTTGTCTATTTGAGGAATTCATGGCACTTAATATTATAAGCAAGTTTGATCTTTACAGAAACTAGTTTGATCAATAGTTTTTGCGATGATTCATTTCATTGTAAAATTATTATTTAGTGATTATTTTAGACATAATGGGAAGAAAATTTATTATAATTAACAAGAAAACCTCATTATAATTATATACAAAATTATCACTAACTATTATTTTATATATATTTTTTTAATTTTAAATTGCATAACATTGCGTAATAATTAAAAATATAGTTTGTATCTAAACTAGTTGTTGTCAAGAGGTTGAGTTAACCACATGCTAGTAATAAGATATTTCTGATATCGTCACGTTTGCATTACAAAGGAATTCGCATTTTTTTTATAAATTAATAAGCGTAAGACACATCGATCACTAAAAAGGATTGTTTAACCCGATGACATTTATAGCAAAATAAAATGGTAAATTGTATTGAATTGGCTTCTTAAAGCCAAAAAATTAAAAAAGTAATCGATCGTAAAACATTATTATAAAAAAATAAAAACGATCTGAATGTGTGTGAATTACTTATTATCAGATCATAACTACGTCGGTAAGGAGGGGTTGTTTTTTGTTCTTAAATTAACCCGATGACATTTATAGCAAAATAAAATGGTAAATTGTATTGAATTGGCTTCTTAAAGCCAAAAAATTAAAAAAGTAAACTGCTTAATATAATAATTACCGCATTAAAAATTTAAAAGGTCAGGTAACAGTACTGATAAAATTTAATTTAACAAAATTGTTGAATTTTCAGGGTTCCTCAGTGGTATTGCTCTGAAAAAATATTCATTCCGTCAAGTAGGTCTGGTGGGAGCTGGACTGTTCGTTCTAGGAGATATATTAACGATATTTGTAGAGAGGACGTATCACCTTGTGTTCACATTTGGAGTAATCAGAGGTATTTAAAATCTATGTTTTATTCATTTATTTCTTTATTATTAAAATATATTATATCCATAAGTATGGTTTATCTTCAACTCAATTTATAGTTATTTCTCAAAGAATTTTTACAATCGATTTCCATTGATTTTTTAATTAGCGGTCAATTAATTTCTACTTAATCATTTAATGGCGATAATCATTAATTGTTAGTTAAAACGAATAAAAAATTTAGTTTTCTCAATAAATTTGAAAAATTGGTAGTATAATAATATATAAAAAGGTATATAAATATATATAAAAAGGTACCAGTGTTGCAAATTTTGTTTCTATTACAGGTGCAGGTTTCGGGGTAATGATACCCGTAAGCTTTACAGCGTTTAATTGTTATTTTACCAAAAAACGCACGGCTATGATGAGTGCGAATCAGACTATGAGTAGCATGGCGTCAATTACTTTTCCAATTTTAGTAACATTCCTTCTATCAGAGTACGGGTTTAGGTGGACCCTAGCTTTGGTAATGGCGGTAGATTTACATTTATTGTTTGCGATGTTAGTCATGCATCCTGTTGAATGGCATATGAGAAAATCGTCAGAATGCCCTAAAATAGGTAAGTTTAAAATTGTAAGCTCTAATTTGCATGAGATATTGATAAGATCATGGTTATTTGTGGTTAATTTATGTTGTTTGTTGTGTTTCCGCTATGTGCTTATGTGCTTTAACATTATTTGTTTTTCCCTGTGACGTTCCGCAACATTGTCTATTTCTAGAGCTCTCTTCTGGTTGTGATGTTGTAAGTTGTAAAAAATATAAAAATAGTCAAGCTGATATCACAGATGAATCCATTATTAAAATGTTACCAGGTGAGGACAATGTCCACGAAATAAAGCCTAGCCTTGGACGACACGAATCTATTCAAAAAAGCATAATGTGAGTAAATTATATCGTAACGTGTTATAACATTAATATACGATAGATAGCTTTGTCCTTAATTTAAGTTGATTCAGAACCAAAAATCTGTCTACTTACATATTTATTATAAATTTATGTGAATACCCCAAATGCTATTGAATATGATAATGGTAAATCTAAATGAGATCTCCAAATTATAATATTAATTAACATTAAACGTATAATACTTTCTTAGATTTACGCGAATATTTGACATTTGAGAGAGGGTCTCTCCCGTGACCATGATTGCTGTAAAGCATTCGAAACGTCGGGAAACAAAAATGCAAATAAATCCGCGACAAAATCCGAAAAGGTAGTTTTATTTAAAATTAAACGTATATTTATAATCTAATGTATTTCAGAAAAGTGATATACGATAACGTAGAACTGGATCTACTTAAGGATCCTCGCTTTGTGAGCACTTTGGTAGGACTTGGATTTGCGTTTGTATCTGATGTAACATACTTGGCTATGGAACCAATGCTGTTGTTTTCATATGGATATACCAAGGTGACTTTATTTATTATTTTAAATATATAATCTGCATTTAATATATTATGTTAATGAAATTTATGTATTTAAAATAAAATTTTCTTAATTTAAAATTATCGTATTTTAAAATTGTCATAATTATTCTTTTTAAATTTTTTTTGAAAGTCCTTTACGAACTGATATTAAATCCAGTAGTTCAGGGTTACAGAGTTTCATTTTTATTTTTACCTAATTATCACAATTGCGTCCTGCTTACAGCCTTTTAATTATTTAATATTATTTAAATATTTATCCATATCCATACTACTCGTAATATTACAAATGTGAATGTTTATGAAGATGGATGGATGGATGATTGTTTGTTACCCTTTCACGTAAAAAAGGCTGAGCGAATCTGGATGAAATTTGGTACAGAGATAGATTATAAGTCTGGAATAGCAGATAGGTTACTTTTAATCCCGGAAAAATCTACGATACTACGACGAACCCGATGCGAAGCGAGTGAGGGTCGCTAGTAATATTATAAATGCGAAAATTTGGATCGATGGATGTTCGTTACTCAGTCACTCCAGAACGGCTGAATGGATATAGATAAAATTTGGCACTATATATCCCAAAAAATGCATGGTTCCCGTGGGATATATTTGTTTTTGTTTTTCACAGATTTTTTTCTATTCCATACTAATCGCTGAAACTTACTAGGATAAACCCGAACGATGTGAGGGTGAGTCGCTAGTAAGTGTAATAAATATAGGAAGTTTCTTTATCCTGTTTTCTTGATATGAATAAGATTTAATTTCGCAGTACATACATATATTGTTAGATGTGTTTGACAAAGTGGGATATTAAAGATTTCAGCATTAACCTACGTTTTAATAAAATAGAAATGGCAAAAATTATTATCACTATTTTAATTCATAAGTATACTTTTTAACTTGACATTTAATGAAATATATCAGTAACAACACTCAGAACGAACAAATTAAACTTTTTGAATGCTTATCTTAAATAAGTTTGGTAGAGCTTGGTGTTAGTATGAAAGAAGTGACTACATCATTCCTACATAGTGACTACTGACTAGCATGTACGACTGCAGACTCATAGTTCCTGGGTTTGAGTCCTGGGTCGGACCAAGTTTATATTCATCAAGTTTAAAGTCATTAAATTTTTCTATAAATATATTCTCAGTAACAGCTAGAAGTTGGCAAGTTGCACGCACGCAAAGCCATCGGTACTGCGCCTGATCTCTTATCGGTCGTATTGAGTTGTCGAACTACCGGAGTACGAGAGTTTCAGAAACAATGAGTGCAATTGTATTTGCGTGCATACGTCTTGTGCATTATAATATCTCCTGTGCAGATGTCTAGTCTCAGTAAGATTGGCTGCCAGTACCTTACCATTCACAGAATTACCCTTATTACTGCATCTTGTTAGGTAAATGAACGTTGAGGCATAATCACCATCCTCTTAAGTTACCATGTTTGAGATAAAAAAATTGTATAAAATATAAAAAAAACCATTATGCTAATGATTTACCTATTCCTAAATTTGTTTTTCAGATGCAAGTAGCGACATGTGTGATGATAGGCGCCATAGCAGATCTAGTAGCAAGATTTTCTTTAGCGATATTCACTTACTTTTACACAGTAGATAGTAAAACGCTTTTCTTTGTTGGCACTTGTGTTACAATGGTGTTGCGAGTAGGTAAGTTGTCTAACCTTTATACCTTATGAAATTATAAATTGCTTATTTCAATATCTGTATTCTGTGTAATATGGTCTGAAATAGAGTTTATACACATATTTAAGTAGCAAGGAGGCAGTTTAAAGTTCTTCATACCATTTTTTATATATATATTTAGATATTAGACAGATTTACAGTGATGTGAAAAAATATAGACTCATATCCAATTTTCAAGATTGTATGTGAAAATAAGTGTAAACTTCTAAATATAGTTTAATTGAATAAAGATCACAAAAACAGAAAATTTTTAGTGTAGGTATGTGAACATTTTTTTATTCATTACATTAGATATAAAGATGAAAAAAATGTCTAACGGCAAATATTAACTGGGAATAACTTATAAACTCAATATGTTCATAATGTATATATTAATTAATATTTCGTCAATTTACCCTTTATTGATGACTTCGATTAGTCTATCGGGTATACTACCAATTAACCCTTTTTTATAAAATTTTAGTCCGAAATTTCATCATGTGATAAAATTTTGGACCAACAAGGTCAAGACCAACAGGCTGCAGTGTTTGTTTTAGTTGAGAAATATTATTGATTTGCGGTTTTTCTTGATCATAATTCTTTTTCATTTTTCTTGCTAAGATCCCCAAAACGTTTTACATTGAATTTAAATAGGGACTGCATGCTGGCCAGTTTGATAGTGGTACTATACCAAAGTCCTGAAGCCACTTCTTTGTAGTTGAAGCAACGTGTATTGGAGCGTCGTCAAAATGTAACTGAGTTTATATATATTCACAGTTCAATTTAGCGTATTCAAAACAAAGTCACATCACTCTAATATGAAGGTCGCGCAAAAAAGTAAAGCTTGTACAGTTAAATGTTTATTTAAGGTTATGTGAAGGAATCTTCTGTTTGAGATAAAGATTTCATTATGGCTTCAAATAATCGATTAACGATAAAAATAAATGAGATATTCAATTCTTTAGTGATAAAGGGAGGACTATTTTTAATTTATAAGATATAATAATGCTATTAAAAGTCATTGTGTCTAATCCTTACTAATATTATAAATGTGAAAGTGTGTTTGTTTGTTTGTTTGTTTGTTTGTTTGTTTGTTTGTTTGTTTGTTTGTTTGTCCTTCTTTAACGTCGAAACGGAGTGACGGATTGGCGTTATTTTATGTGAGGTAAAAAGTAGCCTATTTCAGTCTCCAGCCCTCCAACAGAGGCTACTTTTTACCGCGGGAGATTATCCGATTCCCACGGGAATACAGGTTATAATACAATAGAAAAATATTTATGATCAGAATTACTTGAAACTTGGTATTACTGTTCTTCGATAAAATTAAATAAATACGTGTTTTAGCATTTCTCGAAATTCATTGTATAAGGGGGTAAAATAGGGGATGAACGTTTGTATGAAACTACCTTTATAGAATTTTATTGTAGTTTTAGCGCGAGCAAAACCGCGGGTTCTGCTAGTATAATATAATTTCAAAAGAGCTTTTTGAAGATTTAATAAATGTAAATTAAATTCTTAATAATATTGGTATCGTTGTTTTACTATCATTTATTTTTTATCATCTTAACAAACCTGTTAAATAGTAGGTCGTCTGGATTACATAAGAAAAATATAATATATGATTTCCGATAAAATATTTATTTATTTTTGGCAATAAAACAGTATTTAAAATATGTACATATAAAAAACACATAAAAGACAGTACATACACCAATAAAGTTTCCACTAATACATATATCATGTTAATGAGCAGTCAGAAAAGAAGAAAAAAAAACAGCAAAAAAAAATTACAAAAAAGAAAAATATTTTTTTTAATCAATACAATTTATTGAAGATTTATTAAAGTAAAAAAGTAATAATATCCTGAATCACACCGTTCTTCCTTCTTTCTAAAGATCAAGGTAAAATATATGATTGATTTTTTATTACTGTTTTCAGCACTAGTAACGTCGGACAACTTAACTTTTGTGATAGCTATCACGGCTATATCAGGATTAGTCAGATGCTCTGTCCAAGTACTCTTTCCTTTAGTACTGGTGACCGCCGCTCCGGACAGATTTCCTGCAGCTTTAGCACTCCATATCCTATTTTCTGGATGTCTGATGCTGATGGCTGATCCATTAATAGGTAATAAAATATTTAGATATTATCTAAATATGTAACTTAGATTTTTTTAAAGGAGGATGCAGGCCAAGAGCCTCATAATAGAAAACTCGAGGTTTCGTAAATTTGGTAAGCAAAAAAGAAAAGGTCTTTTTTGACAAACTAGAAAATACTGCTTGCCTTTACACTTTTTGTAGGAAACCCTTTTATTTATAATTTACCGATTATAATTTAACGTCCCACTGCTGGGCACGGGCCTTCCTTTATTTTTTTTATATTAATAAATCATGTGTGTATCTTCACCTTATTTTACTGACTAAATGTAAATGTAATTGACTGCTTGAAGAGAAGATGGAGACACGCATTCTAATTCGAAGAAGTTATCTGTACTAATATTATAAAGAGGAAAGATTTGATTTTTTCTTTGTTTGTTTATACCGAATAGGCTTCGAAATTATTGAACCGATTTAGAATAGTTTCAGACCCTTTTTTATCCCGGAAATCTTCTCTTAAGAGGATGAAAATGGGGACCCTCAAGGGACGATTTCCGGGATAAAAAATATCTTATGTCCTTCCCAGGGTCTCAAACTATCTTCTTACCAAATTTCATCTAAATCGGTTCAGTAGATCCAGACATTACCCCCTACAACGTCGCTGACTCACAAACTTTACCTCTTTATAATATTAGCATAGATTGGTATGATGCTATTCCTAAAAACCGGTAGAACAATTTGACAACTGTCTGTCGTAATATCAGAGTTTGTGTCGATATGGTCTGTACGGAGGTCGTAGGTTTGAGCTCTGCACAACACAAATATTTATATTGGCAATATAATTAGTATTTCTTGCAATTTGGATATTTATGTCTACTTATCCTTACTTAATAAAAAAGTAATGTCCCCATTTAAAATATATTTTAATTATATTAATATAGTTTTGTTTAATTTGTTTCAGGTGTTATTTACGAGGCGACTGGCAGTTATGTGAACTGTTTTTTGGCTATGAGTTTTTGTTGCTTAGTATGTGTTGTACTATGGACGATAGATTATTTAGTTAGTCGTAAAGATAGATCTTGAAATAAATAAGTGTAAATATATTTTATTTTAGTTCAATTTTAGAAAATCAGAGTGCTATTAAGAGAAATTATTTCATGTTTGATTTCTAAACAATTTTCGTACATAAGGTGATTGCACCTTAAAGTTATTTTATATTAGTATGCAATTTGTTTTTTTAAATTAATTACACATTTTACGGAGCTTTAATAATAAATAAATGAATTTAGTTTTACAAAATTCTTTTCATCATTATAATAAAAATGCCAAAAAGTCATGTTACGTTCTAATTTAAAAGATAAAATGGTTTTTATCCCGATTATTTTCCTTTTTTTATTGCAAAATTAACGATTTTCAAATTTTTATCTTTTAAGTTGGAACGAATCACACATTTTGAAAAAAATACGTTAAGAAAAGAAATAGTTTTGGAGACCGAGATCGTGACACGATCACACAGGGAAGATTTCTTACAAGAAGGACCATATTGATGATCTATTTACATTCAGTCTGAGATTAAGCAATTTATTATGATATATCTCTTTTGTACTTGGGTTTTTGCTTCTATTGTGTTCGCATCTTATCTGTGCAATGTATAGTATAATATATGTGTTTACACCTGGAAGTTAGACCAGCTGAAGGAAGAATTGAGAAGAGTGCATCCTGTGGTGATCCTGACTGACCGATAGATCAACACACAGCCTAACCCGCAGGTCATAGAAACGTGAAATTTGGAGGACGCATTCCTTATATGTCTTGGCATCTGATAAGAAAGGATTCTTCGAAATTTATCCCCTAAGTAGATAAAATACGGGATTAAAGATTGTATAAAACTCTGTCATTCTTAATGTGAATACACAGAAAGTGGAGTCTACTTTAAGATAAAAATTAAGAAATATATTTATTTGATTTTTTTTCGAAATTCATCACTTAAAGGGGTAAAAGGGGGTAATAACATTTTTATGGGCCAAGAATTATTTATGATCAGAATTACTTGAAACTTGGTATTAATGCTCTTCAATACAATTAAATAAATACGCGTTTTAGTATTTTTGGAATTTCAATCCCTTACGGGGGTAAAATAGGATGAAAGTTTGTATGAATTTCTGTAATTAATGCACAGAAAGTGGTAATGAAAAATAAAACAAAACAAAATACTTTGCATTAATTTTTGTTTTCTTGTGGGAAAAGCTCCTTTTTCAGATTTCTATTTCGTACTCCTTTGATTTTCGATGTTGTAAATTAAAACCTACAATTTTAACATTTATGGTAGTTTATATATTATGTTTCTGTAAAATTCCAATAGTAGTAAAAAGGTACAAAAATATATTCACCTGTATACGATTTAACAGGTTTTAAAATCACTTTCTGTAAAATAATGTCCATATAGCCTTAAATATAAATATTGTGATTTCGCCAATTTTGGTCGTCTTATTGATTTAGCCCACAATTTCTTCAGTTTTTGTCTTTTGGGAAGAAATTATATACATTTTTTTGCATCCTCAGACTGTACAATTTGTCATTTTAATTATTTTTTTAATAAATTGAAAAAAAAAACATCTACGCTATAGAGTTTACAATAGAGGATCATATTGATCGCGATATTTAATTATATAATTTATAATATTATAATTAAATATATATAGTTGATGTGTAGTAGTAGCGATATGATTTGTTTTTATTTAAATTAATTATTAGGATTGGAGGAAAGATAATTAATTAATTTATTTAAAAATATTATGAAATCATTGATTTACATAAATCTCTTATTTTATACATATTTTATATTCATAGAATTTCAACGACACGCGCTGCTTCGAAAAACACGTGATACTAGGCCATTAAAATTATTACTTACTATGTCTGCTATTATATGAAAACTAGATCTGCCCCTGTTTTGGCCAGAATATTCTATTTCATTTAATACTTTATAAAATATTGTCTCCGGAAATAAATGTTGTAAATCTCATTTTGGGTTAAAAAACCAAAATGTGCCTCGGAGAGCACGTAAACCCGTCGGTCCTGCGCCTTAACTCTCAATGGTCGTGACGAGTGGTCGTCCCACCACTGTATAAGAGTGACAAGAATATAGAGTGCACTTGTGTCTGTGCGTACACTTGTGCAATATAATATCTCCTGCGAAGTTGGCTAGTCTCAATGAGATTGGCCGCCGTGGCCGGAATCGGTCAGGAGAACATCATCACGTATTGGTTTATACAAACATATTTGGTTTATACATGTGTTATATGTATTAGCGATTTATGCTCACTTCGCTCGGATCCTTGCGGGTGCTCGCATACCTAAGTGTACATACACACACACACACACACACACATAAACTTTCAGTTCGAAGTTATCATGAATTTTTAATTTCAGACATGCAATTTAATTTAATTTAAGAATGTAATAATATAAGGTTAAAGGACACCATAAAAACTAAGCCAGAATATTAGAATACGCCTATTATTTTATTATACGTAATTTTTATAATATACAACGCACACAAAAATTAAATAACCCTCTAAACATTTTTTCCTGTTTTATATATTTAAGTGTCAGTTAGCTTAGTTGATTATATACAATGATTTTATGAGGGAATGAACAAAATATGCTTAATATTTTTTACTTAGAATAATTAGGATAAAATGAATCACGATATTACGAAATAATATTAAATTACAAAATAATAATAAATATTTTTTTTATTAATTATATATTTATATAGGTATTTAAATGTAGTTAAAAGTATATGTCAAAATTAAGCGGTAGATGGCACTCTCTGTCTAGGTTCGATTTGAACCCTGAATCCATCATTTCTCTTTAGGATGATATCGGCTTGGAGCACAAACTGGTCTTCAGTGATGTCTGACACCATTTTGTAGTTTCGGAGAATCGTAGACAGCAAGATCTTTAGCTTCAAGATGGCATATTTACGACCTGCAAAATAGAGCAAACAGTTTTATTGCCATACTCTCTGACAATCTTAGTAATATTAGAGTTTACTAATTTATGCACACCCGACTGTTTTACATGATTTTTAAATATTAAAATCGGGAGTTGCTTTTAGGGTTGTCGGGTGCTTTTATGTTATTAAATTGCTTAAAACATTTATGAAAGTTAAGTTAGATTTAATTTGTTATTTATTATTAACTAGCGACTCACCCTTGCTTCGCTCGTGTTTGTCCCCAGGTATGTACGTTTTAACGGTAAGTATATGGACAATGTACATACATAGATATAGAATAGTAGGTAAGTATTATAAAAAATAGAGAAATATATATCCCTTACTTGAGAAATGTTTGATTCCCCCATTCAATCTTCCACCCCCCTTAATACACAAACTCCCCCCCCCCCCTTATGATAGCTACCTTTATCATTCCCAGGATCTCAAACTAATTCTATACTAAATTTCATCTAAATCGGTTCAGCAGATTACGCTTGAAAATGTGCAGACAGCCAGACAGACAGACAGAGTTACTTTCGCATTCAATATTAGTATGAATATATAAAGTTAGGTTTTTGTGGTACTGGTCTATCATCATTGGCTTGGGCTGAACGTTGATAAGTCAGTTAGTGAGTCGCGACATTGCCTATAATATAATAATAAGTATATAATAAAAATAGTTATAGCGAGTGTGTGTACCTGAGGATATAGATATATAATATTGCGGACTTTTCTGTAGACCTTTTTAAGACCTACAATTTTCTAGTTGTTTTGATGTATCTCTTAAGATAGAAATAGTTATTGTGTTTTTCCGTGGGAATGATTTTTTTTTGTAGTAAATCGAATTGACTAAGTTAGTTTTATTTTGTGTATAGATAAGGAAAGGTATTGCGAGTGTACCTTAGGAGATACACATATACTATTGCAGACTTTTCTGTAGGTGTTAAGACCTACAATTTTTTAATACGTTATTTTGATATCTGTCTTAAGGTTTAGCCAGGGGAAGGTTTCTAAGGATGACTCGATAAAACCAGTATTTTCCCGTGGGAAAGAAAGATTTTCCCGGAGTAAAAGGTGTCCTCAATGTTGACCCGAGTAATAAGTTATCACTTCACCAAATTTTGTTGAAATTCGTTCATCACTTTTTGCGTGAAACGCGCACACACAAACAGATAAAACAGACAAAATTTTTAATAACTACTGTTTTCGGGTCATTGTTTTAAAAAAATATTTTATGCTAAGTTACTGCTTTATTATATAGTAAAGATAGTATAGATAAAAAAATATCCCATCGTATTTATATTTATATCTATACATACTCGTATAATAAAAATATACATACAGTGAAAATGTAATGGATCGCTGTCTGTACATGGAAGATATATTAGAAAAAATATTATTGAGAATTAACGGAAATAGCACCCAAAACAATGATTGTTAGAATTTTTGTCTATTTGTCTGTTTATCTATTTTTTATCTATTTAAAATGTACCTGACCGTATGGAAACACCCGAGCGAAGCGAGGGTAAGCCGCTAATTTCAATATAAAAAACCAAAATGAGATTTGTGACGAGTTTTTGCTCGTATATTAAAGGTATTAATTATTAACATAATGTTAAGGCTTGATTGAAGGTAAGTCGTTATGGTAATGTCATATGCTTTATTTTAAATATTAGCGCGTGCCGCGTTTATCTATGATAATTAATAATAAATTTGATACATCTGAATATTTCCGCATATTTATTAACTTGTTATATATACCACAGATCATATAATACTATACTTATATACCGAATAAAATGCGGATGTTCTGTTCCATTATTCAATAGATTATAGTAACTTAGCATAATATAATAAAATTTATTTTGAAATTATATATGTGACATACTAATGTATAAACATGATTATAGTAATAAGTATAGGTGTATTAGTAGAATATGAAATAAAAGGCTTGTTAAAATATTTACTAAAGCAATTAAAGTCCGTTTGACCTCAATTTTATTTTTTCAAAATAAAGATTGTATTGAAATCACTCAATTTTAATGGTTTTAATTGTTATTGTTATTACTTCCTCATACTCATCAAAGATTCTTATTTCTTGAATTTATAAAATAAATAAATTATAGATCTTTGTGTTCTTCTTACCTACACAGCTCCTTGGACCAGCACTGAAAGGAATATAGCTGTAATAGTGCCGATTCTGAGTATTTTCTGGTAAGAAGTTATCCGGATTGAAGACATCAGGGTTATCGTAGTATTTGGGGTTTCGATGAATTTTGTATTGTCCAATAACGACAGTCGCTCCAGCCGGTAGAACATAATTGTTAGTTGCTGAAAAGTTATTTATATAATATATTTAGAAACATATTATACTAAGTCCAGTATCATATACATTATACATATATCTACATTACATAGTATACTTACCAATTTTAACATCGCGCTTCAATTTTCTCGCAATAAGTGGTACTGGTGGGTACATTCTGAGAGATTCTAAGATAACTCTTTCCAGATATTTCATATGAAGGGTATCTTCAAAAGTTGCAGGGCGATCAGAATCTCCAAATATTGAATATAGTTCATCGTAAACTTTAGTTTGAACGTCTTGGTGAATACCGAGAAGACAGAGGACAAAGCTAGACCCAGCTGCAGTTGTATCATGACCCTAAAAAATATTAAATTATAAGCGCAAATATATCAAAAAATTTAAAAAACGAAATGAAATAAAAATAAACAATTTAGTAAATGTTTTTTACGTCATTATTTTACCTCAAACATTATAGTATCAACTTCTTCCTTAATTTCATGGTCAGTTATATTATTAGTACCATTTTGTGCAGATTCAATCATGAGATCCAAGAAAGCAAGACGTTTCTTTACACCTAACACAAGAAAAATATATAGTTTTTAAATATCTTTACCATTATTATAATATATGCATATGTATGTATGTATGTCAATAATGAAAAAATTTTTTTCTTACCGACATCATTCTCATCATTAAAGTCTAAGTCATCACGATAACCTTTAAATACAGTATCAGACAGAGTCTTAACGTTAGCCAGTCCTGTTTCTTCTTCTCGACTTGGACGTGTAACTTCTTCAATAGTAGGCGGAATGATTCCTTTGGCCTTATTTTGCAAATATTTTTCTTTCTTGTTTTTAATAACCTGTTAAGGAAAATTATTTTTAGTCATGGAACTTAAAATATCGGTATATATCTCGTATTACAAATAAAAATTACCTTATTAGTGAGACCGTGAATGATATCTAAAAGCTTTTTTTGTTTCTCAAAGAAAGATGTAAACTTAAAAATAGCATCGAAGCGTAAATAAAATTTATAATGCCTTTGATGAATTATGTCGCACATTCTGCAAAATAAACATAATTTAATTAATAACTTATTATATAATAGTATTGCAAGTAACAAACAAGTATTTTATCTAAAAACTATGGACGTTACTTACTTCATTACTGCCATAGCATAGTCAAAACCTGATTCCCCCTCTTGTGTGTCTTTTGTGATTCCCATAGCCGTTTCTACAAAAATTGCCGATATATTGATTTAGGCATCCCGGTGATTAGGAAACATAAGCAGTTAATAAGGAACATGAAAGCGGATATTATACTTATTTTTAGCGATTGCTTAGGTTTTGGTATTATGTAACCATGAGGCTTAGACAAAAGGTCATTCTACAATAGTTGGAGAAATTTTAAAAATAGTAATAAATTCAATTGAATTTTCTTGTTAATAGTCTTAAAGCTTGCCAGTTGAAACAGATTATTTCGTCAATATCACGTACAATGGAGAAGACACGAAAAGTGTATTAAAATAAATTCAATCGTTATGTCACACAATCATAATAAGTCATCTATACATCTATACATATAATAAAATTGTAACTAAGTTGAATCTGTACATTAAATATTTTTTGGAAAATCTAATTGAAATAGACATTATTATAGATACAGAGTCCGAATCTACAGTTTTTAGAATTTTTGTCTGTCTGTCCGTCTGTTACCGCATCACGAGAAAACCACTAGACAGATTTTGATGAAATTTGGTATGATGATAGCTGGTTATCCGGGCCAACATATAGGATACTTTTTACCGCGGGAAAATATGTTATTTCTGAGAAAAAATACAAAAACTGCAATGTAAGAGTATACTAATATGTAAAACCTAAGGATTTGGTTTTTGGTCATACCAACGTGGGTGGAGCCACGGGCAATGCTAGTTCGCTTATATTTTTGAAAGCTTCTATTCTTCAACGATAGTAGAATGATATCTTGTCTAAGCATCTCAATTGGCTCAATATAAGGTATATAAGCTCAATAAAATACGCTATTTTGAAATCCTCGACGGACATTTTAATATATTAGTCTCTATAGGTATAGGTAAACAAAAAGTAATAGTATGGCGGAAAGGCCAAAAACATGCATTATGTTAATTTCTTTCAATAAACACAATAAAAATTAGCATTACTTATGTTTTATTAGAATTATAACGGAAGTAGACATTTATAATGAGCTTTAATATATGTAACCTAAATTTAAGTCCACTATAGTTTTTTTGAAATGTAAAAAAAAGTTTTTACCTAATAGAATATCAACAGTGACTCCACTCATGTAATCGTGAACATCAAACACTTTTCCGATCTCCCCTCTCATTTTGTTGACAACATTTTTGCTGTTTTCATTAAAAGTATTAACAAATGATTTCAGAATGTTTATGTGGAAAGTAGGTGCAATCATTTTACGATGACTTCGCCATTTTTCACCTGAAAATTAACAAAATTGTAATTGAAAATATATTATACCTAAATTGAGCAATTTATTTTAAGAAAAATTTGGTTTAAGAAAGGTATTGATTTGATTGATTGACGGTTATTTTTATTACATTGGTTCCCAAACAGGGTAACAATCTATACTAATATTATAAAGAGAAAAGATTGTTTGTTTGTTCATTTGTATCGAATAGGTTTTTTCTGAGACATATAAATATCGTGCGGATATTATTCACAACTTAGCAGCTGATATAATAGGGGTTAAAGTATGAAATTGGCGTTTTATTGTAATAGGTACTTCGAATTGACCTTCATGGTTTGAGATTTTTGAGTGAAACTTTTTTCACATGGTACGGTTTTTTTTCACATGGTATGTTAGTTAGGTACTTCTTCTTTGAAACCTTCGTGCCTCGTTGGTGTAGTGGCTAGCATGTACGGCTGCACACTCGGAGGTCCTGGGTTCGAGTCCCGGGTCGGGCCAAGTTTAGTTATTGAGTCTTTCTGTATAGTATGTCTCAGTAACAGCCCGGAGTTGGGAAGTTGGTGGTGTTTCACCCCCGTGCCTCGGAGAGCACGTAAAGCCGTCGGTCCTGCGCCTTAACTCTCACTGGTCGTGTCGAGCAGTCGTCCCACCGGAGTACGAGAGTGACAGGAACAGAGAGTGCCATTGTGTCTGCGCGTACACTTGTGCACTATAATATCTCCTGCGCAGTTGGCTAGTCTCAATGAGATTAGCCGCCGTGGCCGGAATCGGCTAGGAGAACATCACTCACTTTGAAAAATGTGCAACACTCGATTATCGACTTTCAATTGTTTTTTTTATTCAGCTTAGACAAGAAAGATGGATACTTCGAAAATTCGAGTGATTTTTGAATACGAGTTCCGACGCGGAATTAACGTGGCAGAAACAGCTCGCAATATCAATGTTGCGTTTGGAGAGGGGACTGCTAAAGAACGCGCCGTGCGATTTTGTTTTAAACGCTTTCGTGATGGAAACTTTGATTTGAAGAACGAACCACGTGGAAGACCGTCCACACAGGTGAATAACAATGAATTGAAAGAGATGGTGGAAGCCGATCCGAGCCAAATTACCCAGGAATTAGCGGCATGGTTTAACAATACCTTACCAACAATATTGACACATTTGCGTCAAATCAATAAAATAAAAAAATATGAAAAATGGGTGCCTCATGATTTGACTGATCTGCAGAAAGAAACGCGTGTTGAAACTTGTGTTGCCTTGTTGAATCGATACAGAAATGAAGGAATATTGGATCGAATGGTGACATGTAATGAAAAGTGGATTCTTTACGATAACCGTAAGCGAAAAATGCAATGGCTGACCTCACGTCAAACGTCGCAACCATGTCCTAAAGCAAAGCTTACCAATAAAAAGGCAATGGTAACTGTTTGGTGGTCTCAGCATGGTTATTCACTATAGCTTTCTCCGATCTGGTCAAGTACCAAATAGTCAGTAACGGCAGATGGCTACTGTGCTGTACTCCGAACAATGATAGCAAAACTAGCAGTAAAACAACCCCGACTCATGAATCGATGTTCACCATTATTGCTCCATGATAACGCGAGACCTCATACAGCACGAGAAACCGTTTTAAATCTACAGGTACTGCAATTAGAAACCATTCGTCACCCTCCGTGTTGGCCAGACCTTGCTCCAACGGACTACCATTTTTTCGAGATTTGGACAATTTTCTACGTGATAAAAAGTTTTCTTCTCAGGAGGCAGTACAAAATGCTATCACACAGTTTGTCGAATCTAGATCACCAGAGTTCCATCGCAAAGGCATAAATGACCTTCCTATTAGATGGCAGCAATGTATAAATAATAATGATAATTATTTTGAATTAATAAATGTATTAAATAAAAAAAAGCGAATTTCAATATTTTCAGTACAAATCGGCAATTTCATACTGTAACCCCTATTATTAAGAAGTAAATCTGGTATTATCCAAAAGTGGACTCTGAAGAATAGATTTCTCCTAAAAAAATAATTTTATGCCATTTTGTTTAACATACTGAGAGAGAATTTTTTTATAATTTAATTTTGTTTTAGATAAACTAGCGTACATACCTGAACTGATGAGTAAGCCTTCACCAAGCCATGGTTTGAAAAATCTATATTCAGAAGCTTTGTCGATATGAACTTGGCTGTTGAGAATAACCTCAACGTCATTTGGATCAGCTAAGAATATTATAAGTTTCGAGCCCAGCCAACCGCGGACCACTGTTCCGTATATTTCAGCATAACTTAACGCCAGGGTAAGAAGCTCTATTATGTTAAAAAAATAAAATTATATCAATAATTATTGGTATTTCAAATAAATTGTGTATTATTATTATTTTATAAAATATTAATAAATTTCTCCTTGATTATTATTATGCTTAAATCAAGTGCGAGAGTTCATTACGTAATTGAATGTGTTATTATTATTAAAAAAACTATTTCATAATTAATTATAAAGCTTCAAAAGTTATTATCAAAAAAGGTAAACGGCGCCTTTAACCGGCACAGGTACTTTTGATTAATATTTGTAACCAAAAAATGAAATTTAATCTTTTCATTAAAATTCACATACAATATTAATAATACCTTCTGGTCTTTTTCCTAAAGCCAATAGTGCATTTCCAAATAACGGCACTGGCAAAGGACCTGGCAGTAAGTTTCCTAATTTGTGGAGTCTTGATTGTTGTTGCCATCGATAAAGTAACCACAGGCCTGTTGCCAGTAAAACCAGAGGATAGAAGATCAGTCTCGTAGTATTGAAGGAGTACGGGTTGATGTCGTCTACGACAGTCATTGTGCTGAAGAAAAAATATTATAAAAGTATGCATTATTATTTTAAAACTTAAGAGAACTTTTATTTGTTACATATAACGTGTATACATAGTATACAGTACCTTGTTTTTTATTTTTATAATCTATCTTTCGCACCTCACATCCAACACATGACCACTCTAGCAAAGCACCTATTTTTGCTTTAGTGTACTTTTATATATCAGCAAACACATATTTACTGACTTATTAAAACAGTAATATGCAATAAAAATGTTAAGGGGAGAACCTCGCGAAGAAATGCTTTTCTTTATTTGTTATTTATTTTTCAAGTTCTGTAGAATAAGTATAGCTGAGTGGAAATTTCTACTCTAGATTATTAGGGGTGTTGTCCTGACCGATTTCGACCACGGCAGCAATCTCGCCGAGATGAGCCATTTGCGCAGGAGATATTATAGTGCACAGGCTGGGCTGATACTGACAATTTCTTGATAGAAAAACCCAACTGTCCTAAATTTACCTTTTCAAAAATTTAAAGATAAAATTTAAAATATTTTATTGTGCAAAGCGTATTACACTGTTCAAGAGCTTTTTGTTGATAGAAATGTGTGGAATTAAGATATACTGACTCACAGGCGGCCTATCTGTAATATTATGTATATTAATGTAAATTCGATATTTGAAAGATCAGCTGTTTAGTTTCTCGGCGGCTCTTCTCAGCAGAACTGCTTTCCGAGCCGGTGGTAGCTTCCTCACGGACTGACTACACTGACGCTGTTGAACTTGACGATTTAAAAGTACTTATAATAAGTCTATTCGAAAAAAGTATCATTTCATTTATTTTATTTCATCCATTTCTTTCGTTTCATTAATTTCATTCATTTGATAAATATACTTGGTCCGACCCAGGACTCGAACCCAGGACCTCTGCCAGTTATTTGTATTTAATTTAATATTAATCATAGTATAATTGCTGGAATGGTAAAACTAACAGATAGAATATAGATAGGTATATTGTGTTTACCTATAACATTGTCAGATTTGTTCAATTGGGAATTGATACCGTGCTTCTATACATTATAGCTTTACATATCAATTTATATCAATCGTTTAAATAATTCGATTATCATACATAATATATGAACATTTTTAATAATTATATGTCACTAGTAGTCACTCTATGTAGAGGGTTAGCTTACCCACGCTTCGCTCAGCGGCTCGGGTGCGTCCCTATATACGTTTCTCCAGTTTAATGGGAAGATCTTTTTAAGAGGAATAATTCTGTAATACATTGTTTTCATATAACTTTATTAGTTTACGTGGCGTACGGTAATACCCAGTCAGCATGATTTTTTCGACATCTTCAACAATCATCGTCATGTTCATCCAATCATGTTCAGCCAATTTACACAAAACCCTCCTACATTTATTATGAAAACCGTATGAAAATCCGTTAAGTAGTTTTTGAGTTTATCGTGTTCAGACAGACAGATACAAACAGACAGACAGATATAAAACTAAGTCTACAAACAAGTAGGTCAATAATATAATACAGTTATTAAAAAACTGGACAGCGTAAACAATATTAACTGATGAAGAAAAACAACTGCCTTCACATTTAATTATATATATAGAATTGGCTAATCACAAGATTTTTATACCCTTTCGCCTTCACTTTTCTGATTGACTTGCGGATGCCATATTTAATATATCCACAATCTAAAGGAATTTAATGATACCGCAATATTGTAGTGCGTGCCTTGTTTTGGGACAGTAGGGTTATTTTTTTTTATTTCATCCGGCCGCATAGTTCATGTATGCTCTCATGTATAAGCTATCATATTATAAAGTTTCATCAAAGCCCGTTCATTAGTTTTTGCGTGAATGACAAACAAACATCTGTCTATATGCCCATATTCATTAATTCTTCGTTATAAACATTCACGTTTATAATATGAGTAGATTTGCGTAGAACGATATAGACTCTAAACATGATTATAACTATTATTTTTAGCTCTGTTTGAAACATAACCTGCCCTTAATGTAATACTTTTATTTGTTGTATAAAGATTGAACTTTAACCTAAGATTTTTCATTGTTTGCTAATCGATGACAGTGACCACTTAAATCGGCAAAGAAATAACTAGCACATAGCAGTTTGTCAATACAATATGTTAGTAATAGTCAAATTTGTTTATTCCAAAGTCTAATTTTCACCTTTAATGAATATAAAATGAATAAAGCTAATTTCACTTTATAAAGTATATAAATAATCAAATATCAAACCAAATAAGTAAAAATCTGAGTACAATCGGTATTTAATTCGTAGAAAGATTTTTTAAAATTATTTTTAGCTAAATTCTTTAAATAGATTTATCCACATATTTTGTTGGTCGTGCAATGTTAAATAAGGTTGTGTGTCTGGCTGTACATTAGCTTTTTAATCGTGATGTCAACGTCAATATTAATTGATACACGTACATATTACTTACATTGGGGAAAGCTACTTTTTAAACACTGTTTATATTATGAAGTAAAAGTTTTCTACTAAACATTTAAAATATTTTGTATAGTGCGTACATTAACAAAGCCCAAAGGAATAGAAGATTTGTGACTTATGGATTTTTACGTCTACTAAGAGTTTCTATAGGTAACCGTGGCCATGGAATATTTCTTATAATACTAATAGTACAGGCAATAGGTAAACCAACCTACATAATATAAAGCAATTTCCGCCATATTGGCATTCGATATATAGGCGTTTTTTAAGCCTAAAGCCAAGTTTGAGGGTTCGCTCGAAAGGTTTCGGTGAACGGCTCATCCAAGTAAAAACTATAGAAATCTTTTAAATTAAATTTCCTATCTTTTTTGTTTTAAACTTTTTTTTTTCTATAATTAATATTTGTCGAGATATCGTACTTGAAACGCACAAATTTCGCCACTTTCGCCGGTTTTTCCCGATTATCTCCCTAACCGTTCACTTACATGCAATTTTATTTATATCAAAGTTAAAAATCTCTTCATTAACTACAACTTTTTTTAAACTTTTTTTTTTCTATTAGCAATATGTCTTGACTCTTTTATGAAGTTTTTTTTTCTATAATGACTGGATAATGTCAGTATCATTATAAATCTTTTTTGTGCAATGTCATAGTAATTTCTAAATGAAACGGTATTGTAAAAAAATAACTTTTAAATTCATTACCTTTAAATAGGCAGTAGACGATATGTATACAGAAAAAGAAATAGTAAATTGTTTAAAAATATTTTTGTGTCATATCTTGAAAACTATGAAATACGTATATACCTATTATGACTAGACTTCTCCATTCTTTGTTCCGTTTAAAATATTTATGAGAATAAATTAATTGAAATAAATATATGGAGCAATATGCAGTGTCATGTTCTTTTAAATTTTATACCTTTGAGTTACAGTTGAAACGGTTAACGGATGTAAAGGGCCGACCTTAATTGTAAATTTAATTATTTTACAAGTTGTAAGTAATTGAAGCAATGAATAATGATGCACCCATAATACATTGGGATATCGAAAGAAGTTAAATTTAACACAAGTTTTTTTAACAACTATATAATTATTACGTTTAAAATATTTATTAAACGCCAAATTTAGATATTTTTTTGGTTAAAATTTTTAAAATATTTTAACATTGACCACTTAAAACTAAAACTTTGACCAATATTGATGAAAGACGACCACCACGGGATATTGGCTTCCCCAAAATTTTCCACATGACCAGTGTTCGTTACTTTCTATGGACGGCGACCTTCATAAGGTCATCGTTCCCTCATAGCAATTCTCACCTTCCGGTACGCAATCGCTACTCGAGAACTCTGCGACTCTATCGTAGTAGGTAATAGCATATTATACTATCACAATCTTTAAAAATACAATCTAAATTGAATGGTTTAGTCGCAAAAGTGTAAGAATTAATTGCCATGTAAAATTAAGTACAATACTATAATTTTTAAAAAGCGCTTAATAAGTTTTAGCAAATCAAAGGATAAGTTTAGTACCTAGGTTTTAATAACTTAAAATTTGTAATGAACTTATATTTTGTGAAAAATATTTATTTAGTACTTTCCTAGATTTACGCGAATATTTGACATTTTGAGAGTAATCATAGCAGTAAAACATTCGAAATGTCGGGAAATAAAAATCAAAATAACTCCGCGAAAAAATTTAAAAAGATAGTTTTATTTAAAATTAGCGACTCACCCTCGCTTCACTCGGGTTCGTCCCTAGCTTGCTTCCCCATACAAACTTTTACCCCATTTTCACTCTCTTAAGGGATGATTTCCGGGATAAAAAGTATCCTACGTCCTTCCCAGGGTCTCAAACTATCTTCTTACCAAATCTCATTTAAATTTATTCAGTAGATCCAGAGATTACCCCTACAACGTCACAAACTCACAATCTCACAATTCACAAACTTTACCTCTTTATAATATTGATATAGAAGTATAGATAAGTCTATCCAAGACCAATCTGTATATTATTTATGAGCTAAATTTTATTGCGAAGTTGCTGCTTTGTTTATTTATTAGGCACCTTAGATGTTCTTTTATAAAGTATTAGCTCATTCAAATAGACTTTTACGATTATTTTTAAAACTAGGTGGACTCTTACTTCCAATGCTTATATTTTATAATTTATCACAAGGATTTACAGTACATTTTCATTCAGGCTTTTATTTGGTATCCCAGAACTACTTGAAGTTTTCCCTGAGCTAAATCATATTGAAAAATAGTTGCTCTATAAATTGGACAGGCGCATATTCCATATATTTTGATAAAACATATTATAATTATAAAATATATGTTTTTGTGCTTTTAAATGTTTAATAAATAAGTAGAGGTAAAATGATAGACCTACATACATGAAAATTTTGAATCTCTTTTTCTTCGATTGAAATTCTATTTGAAAAACTTTACTTCATATGATTATGGTCAAGATAAGGTTCATGGGATTTGAAATGGAATAAGTTCCCTAGATTGAATTATTAC